CAACCCATGAACCTGAGCCAAAGTCGGACGCCCAACCGACTGAAACACGTGGGTGCCCCACTTTTTTTTTTTCTTTTGAAACAGCTTTATTGAGATATAATTCCCACCCATTGAAAGCAGGTGAGTATATATTGTATATTCATTCACAAGACTTGTTACCTATAGTGTCTGTCACTGCAATCAATTTTAGGGAATTTTTATAATTCCCCAAAGAAACTCGATACCCACTGGCAGTCGCTCTCCGTGCCCCCAGCCCCTGGAAACCCCTCACTCACTTCCTTGGCCTCCGCACATCTGCCCTTTGAGACATTTCGTATAAATGGAATCATACACTAGGTGGCGCTGTGACTGGCTTCCTTCACCTGGCATCCTGTTTTCAAGTTTCGTCCACGCAGCGCCTGTCGGGCGCTTGGTTCCTTTTCGCGGCTGAATAATATGCCACTGTGTGGGTACATTCTGTGTCTTTTGTCGGCTCATCAGTTGATCGACACTCGGGTCGTCTCCACTTTGTGTTGATTGTGAACAGAACGGAATATGAGCAAACGGGTTTTTGCGTGAACGTCTCTTTTCCCTTCTCCTCGTTTGTTTTCTCGCGTTTAATAAAAACACGGAATAAAGAAGGATGTTGCTCTGTGGTGCGAGGCAATACAGCACGGCGACCGCGGGCCCAGGCCGCCTGGGTTCGCATCCTGGTGCTGCCACGTGCTGGCTGTGTGACTTTGGGCAAGTCTTTGAACTTCTCTGGGCCTTGGTTTCCTCGGTCGTAAAATGAGGGTAATCGGAGGGCTCCGCCCCCTATAGGGGCTGTTATAAAGATTAAAGAATATTCGTGGAGCACTCAGCACAGGGCTACAGGAAACAGGAGATCAGTGCTTGTTAAATAAACACAGCCAGGTAAGTATAATTACAAGTGGCCCTTGATACTCAGCCTTGAGGCAAGGCCGAGGGCACATGCCCTTGCTCAAGGGGCAAAGGCTGTCCAGCTGTCTTTGACCGAGATGGGGGTGGGGAGCACTAGCCTCATACAGAAACCCAGGGCACATTAATAGGAGACCCTAATGAGAGGGTCCCCACAGAAGGCAGTCGCATCAGCGGGGCCGGTCCCAGAGACTTTTGGAAAGAAGTCCCCAGCCAAGACCACTGTGTAACAGATCTATCGCCTCGGGGCACCTGAGTGGCACCATTGGTTAAGTGTCCGACTTTGGCTCAGGTCATGATCTCGCGGTCTGTGAGTTCGAGCCCCGCGTCGGGCTCTGGGCTGATGGCTCAGAGCCTGGAGCCTGTTTCCGATTCTGTGTCTCCCTCTCTCTCTGCCCCTCCCCCATTCATGCTCTGTCTCTCTGTCCCCCAAAAAATAAATAAACGTTGAAAAAAAAAATTTTTTTTAAATGGGGATGTTCAAGCAGGGTCCCTTGTGACGATTCCATGAGACGACTTCCTGCCACGAGGCCTTTGAGGGGCCCCGCACGGGTGAGTCAAACAGAGGCCAGAGGCCGTTAGCTGCCAGCCCGCCGCAGGCCAAATCCGGCTTCGCGTGTATTCACTCTTGGCCCACACAGCATTGTTTCCAACACGAACCAGCACTCACCCATCTACTGACCCACAGAAGGGTCTGGAGATTAAAGCTCAAAATCCAGGGGCGCCTGGGTGGCGCAGTCGGTTAAGCGTCCGACTTCAGCCAGGTCACGATCTCGCGGTCCGTGAGTTCGAGCCCCGCGTCGGGCTCTGGGCTGATAGCTCAGAGCCTGGAGCCTGTTTCCGATTCTGTGTCTCCCTCTCTCTCTGCCCCTCCCCCGTTCATGCTATGTCTCTCTCTGTCCCAAAAATAAATAAACGTTGAAAAAAAAAAATTAAAAAAAAAAAAAAAAAAAAAAAAAAAAAAAAAAAAAAAAAAAAAAAAAAAAAAAAAAGCTCAAAATCCAGACCAAAATCAGGATATGGGGTTCCTAGGGGTCACCAACTGGGTGGAGCTGAGGAAAGGCTGTCCCTTCCCTCCGGTGCCAGGATCCTTCACCCACTCGGCCTCCAAAGGCACGGAATGTGGGACAAGGGTCCCCCAAGGGCCTGCCCCTTTCCAGCTGGGTGGGGAGGGACGGGCCCTCTGTCAGGAAAAATCACCCGGCCCTTGTGGGCTCTGGAGAGAGCAAAGTAGGGTCGGGCCAGGAACGTAGGTGTTCCCCTTTGAGGCAAGTGGGAGCTACGGAGGGTTCCGCAGCTGGAGAATGACTAGGCTTGAACCCAGGGAACCCGAGGGGCAGGTGGAGCCGGGCAGAAATGCCTCACCAGACAGCAAGAAGTCCTGCAGAGGGGTCACTAGAAGACCCAGAGGTTACGATGGAGACGGTGCAGGGCTGGAGGCTGGCTCCTGGAGGGGGACTTAGAACTTAAAGGGATTGCGTGGTGGGGGAGGGAGGGTTTGGAATCTGCTCCCATCCCAGGCAGTTCGTGGGACGGTGACTCAGCAAACAGGTCCTGGGTGCTAGAGGGTTGGCCCCTGGGGATGGGATGTCTGTCTCTCGTTCCCTGCTGTATCCCCGGAGCTGACACCAAGGCATGGCATGCAGTAAGCGCTCAATAAATACAACCAAATGAGTATCTGGCTCTGTGTGGGGTGCAGGTGCCTCACAAGAGACAGGGACATGTGTATCAGGTGAGGGTAGACAATGGGGCGTGGAGACCCACGTTGCCCCAAGAGTCATTGTCAAGGTGGCCGGGAAGACTGAAGGGGGTGAGGTGTGTGCGTAAGAACCGAGAGCCAGAGGCCTGACCCGCCTGAGGGAGGCCCGGAGGGCTTCCTGAAGGAGAAGGCATTCCTTTTCAAGGGAAGCAGA